AAGGCGAAAGTGACGGAGGCCCGGCCGCTCTGCGCGACAAAACGAGGGGGCGGTGCTATGCTCGGCCTTTCCGTTATTACCAGAAGGCGCAGCGCGGGCGAATTTGAAAACGGCCTCAACGGCGGCACGGAGGCAGTGACGTCAAAGCCGAGAGACAAATGCGTTCAAAATTGAACCTCCTCGTGGTGCGGTGCGTCGCCTGGCCTTCCCTCTACGGCTGAGAGTATTTTGTCGCTGTCTCGGTTGCACTCGACCCGTCGGAGTGCGAGAGAGAGACAGAACTGGCCCCCGAGAATCCCTGGCGGAGGCGCTTGGGGTGCCGACTCACGCCTCGCCTCGTCGAGGAAAGGATTCCGTGCTAAAGCGCAGTCGAAGGATGGAAATTAGTACAAACAACGATTTATTTGTTTTTTAAAAGGTGAGAGTAAATAGGCTGACGACGCATAAAACAAGTGGCGCGTTATGGCGACAGATTTATACCAGTGGCGCGTCAGGGTGCCTGTCTCCACAAATCATACTCGGCCGGGACAAACACACCGGCCGGGCCGTCCGGCCTGCCTGGGCGTCGGACAACACCGGACCGTTTTTTCCTCTCTCTCTCTCTCTCTCTCTCTCTCTCTCTCTCTCTCTCTCTCTCTCTCTCTCTCCCCCCCCTTTCCTTTTCGGGAGTAGGCAGGGCGGCAGGGGCTGTGCGTGAGGAGGGCGGGATGGTCGCTCCGTGTCGCGACGTTTACTTTGGCAGAGCGGGGCGAATCTGGGCGGAACCAGGATCAAGGCGCCGTGGGCCGGGCGACGCACAGCGTCGCACAGTGGGCCAGAAGACGGCGTAGGCGGCCAAAACTCCGGACGCATTTTGAGCTCCAGAGTCGCTAAACGGGACTCGCACCGAACGAGTGACCCCACCAATGGATTCCTCGTTCGGAGCGCAATCCATTGGCGGAGTCACACGTTCGGTTCGAGTCCCATTTAGCGACTCTGGAGCTCAACGCGTCTAGAGTTTCGTCCGCCTGCGCCGGTCTTCTGGCCCACTGTGCGTCGAGGGCGGCCGACTTGTCTTACACGCGTGTTCGGTTCCGTGTACCCGTCGTCCGTACGCCTGCCCGGCCGGCGGCGCGTTCTAAATTTAGAAAGTTTAATGACGTTTCTTTGGATATATTACCACGCACGCGCGCGGGCGATATTCCCCGAGGATGAGAAATTGCGCGGCAACGAGGTCAGCGTAAGTGCGGAGGCACGACGGGATGGGAAAAAGGTGGCCGGGGCGAGTTTAAGGTGGAGATGACGAAGATGTAGGTAGGCCTTCGGGCGCATAAACTTTACGCCCCTGTCGCCCGCAAGCATGCCGTCGGCATGGCGTCGGACCACGTCGTCAGCCAACGCCCCCGTCAGCACATTTGGCCGCGGGGCAAGATTGAGAGCAGGGGAAAAAAATGTGCCGAAACAGGCCTACTCTTTGAAAAATCACAGCAAAGCCACGCGTTTTGAAGGAGTACTGGTGTAGTTACTCAATTCGCCACACCCAGAAAAATGGATTTTTAATTTTCTTGGTTATACAAGAAAAACAGTCTTGTCACAAGAAAATTTTTCTGCATAGAAAAAAGAAGTTTGAATAAAAAAACCTTTCTGGAAAAATTCAAGAAAAGTTTTTATTTCGATCAAAGAAGTGGAAGCCGTTTTAAATCTACCAATACCAACTGCACCCGAAAAAATCGTTTCATGGACTAAGAAATTGGACTTGGACTAGCCTAAGAAATACGTACTTGAAACATTCAAGTAAATTTACTCGTTGTAACTTTACCACCCTGAGTCGAGGAATTTTTCTAGTGTTTTCAAGTTTTTTTTTTTTCTTGCATAGCAGCGGTTGCCGGCTAACACAAGGTCCGGTCCTCTGCCTGCGAGTCGCAAGGACGACAGCAAACCCCCTCTCTTCGTCGGTCTCTCTCTCTCTCTCTCCAGCTGCCTTGCCGATATTCTGCGTGGGGCTCAATAATCGAATCAAAGCATCTCGGCCTGCGCCTGGTCCTCGCCAAATCAGATGGAGGGGGAAGGTGGACCGGGGGGGAGGGATCCTGCCCTCCGGAATAAACGGCGTCCGGAACCGATATAGCATCGGCAAGCGCGCGAGAATTCAAATACACAAACTGCACAAAGTTTGGGCGGGATTAATGATAATAGTTTGTTAAATTGCCTCACGATAGCAAGGCCACCATTAGGAGTCCGTAATAAGACGTGTGTGTGTGTGTGTGTGTGTGTGTGTATCAAACTTGAACTGGAGCAGCCAACGCCAGCAGAAGGGGGAGGGCGAGTGTTGATAATCGAATTGCCAACGAAACAACAATAAGAGGCCTCAAGAAAAATAAAAACAAGGACAAATAAAAACAAAGAAAAACAAAAAAAACAGTCGACGCACATTTAGGAAGCAAAAGGGAGGCCCAGCAGGACTAATGGGGGAACCCTTAGCTACGCCTCCGGTTGTATCTTTTCCGACATGCCCCATTCCAGAGAGAGAGGAGAGAGAGAGAGAGGGAGAGAGAGAGAGAGAGAGACGGAAGGCCTTCAGCACGACCAAACAGAATCGCACGCGCCGACGTCTGATCTTGGCGCGGGGCGAACAGACGGACGGACGGACGGCTCGCGAGCAGACAGACAGACCGGTGGTAGGAAACGTATAACAACAGGCTTACGGCGCACATAACGTGGGCCTTATAAGGCACGGGAATAGTAGCTGTGGGACCATTAGGCACCCTAACAAGGAGGCCGGGGCCAAAGGGTGCCAAGAGGAGGCGGGGGGAGAGGGAGGAGGGATAACATGAGCCCAAAGAAAGTGGCGAGTGAGAATAATAGGAAGACGTTCTAGGCGCCGCCAGGCTGACTGCTGACTTTGGAGCGGCGAGGCACCCACGCCAGGCCAGGTGACGCCGACAACACGGACGTGAGAGGCGCGCAGAGACGGTCAAAACTCCAAACGCGTTTCGAGCTCCAGAGTCGCTGAACAGGGCTCGCACCGAACGTATTACCCCACCGATGGATTCCTCGTACGGAGAGCCATCCATTGGTGGGGTCACACGCCCGGTTCCAGTCTCATTCAGCGACTTCGGAGCTCAAAACGCGTCGGGGGTTTTGGCCGCCTCCGCCGGTCTTCTGGCCCACTGTGTGCTGCCCTGCGGCCCCGGCCTGTGGGCCCCGGCCTGTGCGGGGGGATCGCTTCCCTCGGCACTGCGATATTGAGGCGAAGGCCGGCCGGGTCCTTCTTAATTGCACGCGGGGCTCATTGATTCTCTTTACCGCTGGCACCGTAAAGCCCTGCAGGCTTCTGTCCCTCTCACACCTCCAGGGCGCGCCCCGTGCCGCCCCGTGCGTGCGAGAGAGACAGAGTCGTGATTGCCGCGCGCCGTCCCAACTACTCCCCCCTCCCTCACCTTCGGAAATAAACGTTGAATGTTCATTACAGGAGCTTATTTGAACGGCGCGCAACCCATGCATTTACTAACCGCCCTCCACGTTAAGTTTGCCCTTTTTCGCAGTGGGGCGGCGGGCGGCGGCCGGTCCGCCCGGCAGGACGGCAGGGAAACTGAGGCGACTCGCGAAAAAAAGGGGGCAAAGAAGCAGGCAAATGAATTATCTCCGTCTCGCTCGCACCCTCATTTGGCGCGGCAGCGCGGCTCGGACGACGGAGACCGCACACACTGTGTTGGACGTGCAGCCAACGAGGGGGAAGGCGCGCAATTAACCTCTCCAGCTCTCTCTCTCTCTCTCTCTCTCTCTCTCTCTCTCTCTCTCTCTCTCTCTCTCTCTCTCTCTCTCTCTCTCTAACCTCAACCCCGGCCCGCCTAGAATCTCATCAGACGCGCCAAGCAACCTGATGAACATTCCCCCTTCCCTTCCCTCTTTTTTTTTCGCCCTCGTCTTACACTTTTGCAGGTCGGACGTGGTCCTTCTCGAAACTCCCGGCCAGCTGCCGCAAAAAAGCGCTTCAAGATGAGGATCACCTTCTAGCAATCCAGCCCCGGGGCGCTCCAAGGACGGCCCGCCCTTCCGGACCCGTTTCGGAGACGGCCTCGCCGCGGGCCAGAGGACCGGCAGCACTCGAAGCGAACGTGTGACCCCACCAAAGGATTGCTCTTCGAACGAGGAATCCATTGGCGGGGTCACACGGCCGGTGCGAGCCCCATTTAGCGACTCTGGAGCTCAAAACGCTCCGAGGATTTTGAACGCCTCCACCGGTCTTCTGGCCCACTGTGCGTCGTCACCGTTAAACGTGGCGTGTCGCCGCGCAGGCCGCGCGACTCTGAGACACGCGTTGAGTGCGATTACCGACTCGGCCCGCGAAACTCGACCCTATTGTATCGATCTATCGAAGGGAACTCCCCCCCCCCCTTTTCCGTCCGTCGGACGCAGCCAATCACTCCATCATGGCGGCTGGAGCTTTAACTCCAACCAGGCAGGTAAAAAATCGATTCCAAGGCAAAGCACGATCTTTACGACTTTCCGCATGAGTTGGCATCCAATTGCCGCGACTTGCGTGCCAAGCTGAGTGTCGCCCCCACTCCGGCCGCTCAGGCTCCAGTCTGGAGAGTCGTTCTCGTCACTCTGTCTCTCTCGCACTCACGAGGCGCCCCGCGAGAGAGACAGAGCTAGGCCTTCCAGCCCCGGGGCACGCACCGCGCCCCGGACGCTGCACAGTGGGCGAGAGGACCGGTGGAGGCAGCCAAAACTCTAGACGCGTTCTGTGCTGCAGAGTCGCTGAATGAGACTCGAACCGAACGTGTGACCCCGCCAATGGATTCCTCGTTTGGAGAGCAATCCATTGGTCGGGTCTCATGGTCCGTTCGAGTCCTATTTAGTGATTCTAGAGCTCAAAACGCGTCCAAAACATTCTGTCCACCTGCGCCGGTCTTCTGGCGCACTGTGCGCTGGCGGTAGTTCAAATTCAACGCTGCCATTCGACAGATGTGACGTGATTTTCGTGAGAATGTGAGTTACAGTGTGACGTCACTCACCTTGGGGTGGTCCCGGGTGGGCACGACGACGCGGACGGTGACCTTGACCGGCTTGTCCCGGGTCACGTCCACCAGCCGCCTCTGCTCGGGCAGGATGCCGCCGAGCCCGGCCGCCGTGGTGAACCTCTTGCTGTTGCCGCTGCTGGTCGAACTGCTACTGCTGGAACTGCTGCAGCTGCTGCTTTTGTTGTTGCTAGTGTTGTTGTTGTTGGCGCTACTACAGTGGCTGATGCCGTTGTGACCGTTTTTCATGTTTTTCGTGCCGTGGCTGTGATTTTGTTGTTATTGTTGTTGTTTTTTAGGCTGGTGTTGTTGTTTTCGTTGGGCATGAGCTTGTCCGAGTGATCTGCAACAGAAGAAACAAGAGGGGATTGTGAGTGAAGTGCGAGGCGGTTGCAGGCGGGGGGCGCACAGTGGGCCAGGCGGCCAAAGTGCAAGACGCGTTCTGAGCTCCAAAGTCGCTAAATTTGACTGCAACGGAACGTGTGACCCCACCAATGGATTGCTCTCCGAGCGAGGAATCCATTGGTGGGGTCACACGTTCGGTTCGAGGCCTGTTTAGCGACTCTGCAGCTCAAAACGCGTCCAGGGTTTCGGCCGCCTGCACCGGTCCTCTGGCCCACTGTGCGACTCTGTTTTCCTTTCATTCCAGTTACACGCCACTCAGCCCCCGCGCCTGCTTGCACATCCTTAGCCACTTGCAATCAAAGCGCGCTGCATAATTTAACGACACGGCCCCTCGGAGGCGCTAAGCTCAGACGCCTTTGATCCCTTTGGCCGGTGTTTGGACTGGCGGCCGGGCCGGGCGCAGCGCGGCGGCGCAGGCCGGCACAACCTAGCGCACATTCCGCGAAGTCCGCGAGGTGTTAATATTTCCCCCGGCGGGGCCAAGGCTGGGCAGCGCGGCTCAAAGGCGGAGCAACAAGGAAGCGCCAGCTGATCTGTCCGTGTTTACCGACCGGCACGAGAAAAGACGTGGGAAAAGAAAGGCGGAGGAAAACTCGCTCCGTTCACTCTTGAAACCTTGACTCTTCGATTCTGCTCCGAAAACCGAAGGGTGTGAATGGTTGTTTCTTACAAGAGTCAACCCAAAGGTTTGCCCAACTCATGAAAATTTATCAAAATTCACCAGGAATTCTCAATTCGCGAAATTGACAAATCCACCCAAGATTGAAATACTCATTAAAATTCGTGAAATTCACAGCCAAGTTCACCCAAAATTCAACGTAATTTCCCCGTCGTGATGGAAACGGGGCCCCTGCCAGCCGCCCGTCACAGTGTCTCTGAATTTCCGCCACCCAGCTGGCCACAATTACAAACTCGTTATTCGTAAGCGAGTCATAAATTCATTTGCCAGGCCCTCCATTTTGCCGCAATTTGACCTCGCACTATACGCTGTCTCCTTCGTTAGGCCGTGTATCGCACGTGTTTGACAGAGTGGCCTTGCCCTGGCGCGGCGCCAGCCGCATAAGTCGCACCGACACTGTTGATACTAGATGGATAAATACATCATCGGAGCGGAGCGACCTAAAAGTGTCACATTTCTAAAAAAAGAAATATGTAAAGCATAGCTTAATTCACCACTTTTTTTTTGATGTCAGTATTGATTGACTTCATATGTGAAAAACGTCTCACTCTCCACACAGTGGGCCAGAAGACCGGTGCAGGCGTTCGAGATCCCGCACGCATTTTGAGCTGAGGAGTCGTTAAATGGGACCCGAATCAAACGCGGGACCCCACCGATGGATCGCTCTCCGAACGAGGAATCCGTCGATGGGGTCTTACGATCGCTTCGAGTCCCATTTAGCGACTCTGGAGCTCAAAACGCGTCAGAGCTTCGTCCGCCTCCTCCGGTTTTTTGGCCCACTGTGCGACGTAACCTGGCCCGCCCTGAGATTTGCCCTTACAAATGGCGCGCCTCTGCCGGCTAAATACCCATCGGGACGAGGCCCAAACACCATCACTCCTGTCTCTGGCAATAAATTGGGTCGGGGGGCATGTTCCGGTGTGATACCGGCTGCCTGAAGGAGACAAGACAAATGGAAGACGAAGTAGGTGGAACAAATTACCGGCACGGCGCGTGCATAGGAACAGGGACTGCGTCTGACAGCCTGGCTCAATCTGTACTGGCTTCGAATAATGCGGCGCAACAGGCGGCTACCGATTGTAGGGGCCTCTCGGCCTTGGCCCACTGCGAGGCACGGTGCGGCGCGGTGCGGATCCGCCCTGCAAATAGCTCAGGCGCTGCCGCCGCCGAGCCGAGGCAGGCGGGCTGCATTGTGCGCCCTATTCGCAGAACACTTTCGTCCTTCGTGGCGCACAGTGGGGCAAAGCACCGGTGCAGGCGGCCAAATCTCGGACGTGTTTTGAGCTCCAGAGTCGCTAAATGGGACTCGAACCGAACGTGTGACTCCGCCAATGGATGTCTCTCCGAACGAGGAATCCATTAGTGGGGTCACACGTTCGGTTCGGGTCCAGAGAGTCTCTGGAGCTCAAAACGCGTCTAGAATTTTAGCCATCCCCACCGGTCTTCTGGCCCACTGAGGGGCGTAACGGGCCAGGGCCCTCGGCGCTGGCCAGACCTCTGCTTGAGTAGGCCTCCGAGGGACCGGCCGGCCTCTGCCAGCCAGCTTAACTATTTATCAAAAGCCTGCTTCTTCCCTTCGCTGCTTTGCTGCCGCCACTCAGGCCGAGTCCGCTCGCCAGAGAGTCTGCCCCGCCGACGCGTCGTGGAGCCGCAAGAAGAAGAGAGATTGTGTACACAGGATGATCATCTCGGGGACAGCGAAGAGGCCACCGAGTGTACCAGGCTGTGTGCAAGCGTGTGTGCTCTCTCTCTCTCTCTCTCTCTCTCTCTCTCTCTCTCTCTCTCTCTCTCTCTCTCTCTCTCTCTCTCTCTCTACTCCCCCAGCAAGCGACATGCCCTTAGTGGCGTGCTTGTCAGCACTCACTTCCGTACACTCGCGATTCAGTACACGCTTGCTCCGCGTCCACCGCGCGTCTGAGTGTCTGTCCGTCTGCTGTCTGCCTTTCTGTCTGTCCGTCTGTCCGTCTGCGGTCTGAGGCTGGCTGAAGACGTTGGTCTAACTACGGCGAGCAGACGGAACAGCCCTGTCACCCGGCGGGACAGGCCACCAAGTTAAGCTCTCAGGCACCTCGGCGGCGGCCGGTCCGCCCAGACTGATTCCGAGAGGGAGAGAGAGAGAGAGAGAGGGAGAGAGAGGTCGGCCCGCCACCCTCTTTGCATCTATCTCTCTGCATGTCGCGGTGGCGCCGTGCCATGCACACATGCTCTCCCGCGGGCGATGACAGCGCCGCGGCTGTGTGCAAGTGCGTCGAGAGGTGTGTGCGTGCGTGTGTGTGTGTGTGTGTGTGTGTGTGTGTGTGTGTGAGTGAGTGGCGGCTCCTCGTCGTGAACTAGATGGATAGCGCTATAATGGCCGATGAAAGAAGAAACGTCGCCTCAAACTTCTGGCAAGGCAGGCCCTCTTCGTCCAAAGTGCGCGCGCCAGAGCTAACGACCCACGCCCTGCACAGTGTGCATCCCCCTCCACCTTGACACTGACACTAATTACGGAACGTCTTCTCTCAGCGCGGCAAAATATGGCGGCACACAGTGGGCCAGAAGACCGGTGGAGGCGTCCAAAACACGGCCAAGACGCATTTTGAGCTCCAGAGTCACTAAATGGGACTCTAACCGAACGTGTGATCCCACCAATGGATTCCTCGTTCGGAGAGCAATCCATTGGTGGGGTCACACGTTCGTTTCGAGTCCTGTTTGTCAACTCTGAAGCTCAAAACGCGTCTAGAATTTTGGCCGCCTCCACCGGTCTTCTGGCCCACTGTGTGCCGGGGCGGATTCGAACCCCGGACGGACGGAGGGCCTCGCGTGTCGTTAGACCCGTCATCAGCATTGGAATGCGCACCGCGATACAAACCTCTGCGTGAGTGTGAGACTGTGTGTGTGTGTGTGTGTGTGTGCGTGTGTGTCTGGGTGGGGGACAATGCTCGCATTAGGAGGAAAAAGGAATGGAAATGCGGGAGGTCGTTGGCGAAGCCGCGCAGTGGGTCAGTGTGTAAAGTTGTCCCAGCGGCATGGCAAACGAGGAAGAAGAAGAAGAAGAAGAAGAAGAAGAAGAAGAAGAAGAAGAAGAAGAAGAAGAAGAAGAAGGTGCATCGTTCCGGACATGCTACTCCACTGCCTAATGAAGGTCCCTTTCGCCAGCCAATGAAGCCCGGTGGCCATAACGAACCTGATGACGAAGTAATGAGTGGTGTGATTGATGCTGTGGGCCACAGCCAGCCAGCGACCATGGCACTAAAACTGCCGCGCCGTCAAACTGCCAGTGGTGCCACCACGCAGTGATTAACGACAAGGCCCATTTTCGCGCCAAAATGCCCAGATTGCGTTCGGGTTTCAGCGCGATCGCGTCTGTCGGCGCGGTGGCCGCGGTGTGTCGGCGTGGATCGCCACGGTGTTGTCACCGTTACCGAAAAACAGCGCGGCGGTCTGCGCGTCTCGCACACCGAGAGAGGGTCGTTTCCGCCGCTCTGTCTCTCTCTCTCTCTCTCTCTCTCTCTCACACACTCAAGAGGCGTCCCGTGCAGGTGCGAGAGAGACAGAGCGACGCTCGGAATCAGTCTGCTGCCCCGCGGTGAGATTAGTTTTGCAGCGGGCCGTCCCCGAGGACGCATAAAAGCCGGCAAGTACCGCGTAATATTCGCAAGTTTTCCAATGGCGCTGCTGCACGGCCGGCACGGTGCGGCGGAGCAGGACGGTGAGAGAGAGAGAGAGAGAGAGAGAGAGAGAGAGAGAGAGAGAGAGAGAGAGAAGGGGAGAGATGAGTAGCGGGGAGAGGCACGGGATAAGGACCCGGAGATATCCAAAAGTTTCAAAGCCAATGAAATATGTAAGGCGGAAAGTCGAAACCCAAAAAGGGGGCCAGCCTGGCGCATTTGTCATGAGAGTGGCAATCCCTTCGCGAGTCGGGGGCGGCAACCTCGTGCTTCAATACTCGCTGAAGCAGGGTCAAAGCAGGGTTGCCAACTCGGAGCCTAAGGTGTTGTCAAGGGTGCCGACCAGTCCGTGTACTCGGATTGACAGGCGCCTGCAGACTGGAGGATAGGCCACCCGAACGCTACCGCGCTGAGCGCGTGGCCTACCCGGAGCCTGGCAGGCGCCTGCAGACTGGAGGATAGGCAACCCGAACGCTACCGCGCTGAGCGCGTGGCCTACCCGGAGCCTGGCAGGCGCCTGCAGACTGGAGGATAGGCAACCCGAACGCTGCCGCGCTGAGCGCGTGGCCTACCCGGAGCCTGGCAGGCGCCTGCAGACTGGATAGGCAA